GGGATCTCCGTCCTTGGAGGGTTTCAGAGCTTGGCTAGAAAAAGCTACAGCATTGGCAATAATCCTGCTGGAGCAGGATGCTGGACTAGACTTTGGAGGTGTCTTCCAGACGGCATTTTTGTGATATTCTTTAATATCCTCTCTAGCTTTTACTGGAGTGGAAAGTATTTCATCTTGACTGGTTACAAATCCAGACTCTTTCTGAATATAGGATGAATTTATTTATTGGAAAACTCCTGCTTAGTCTGCGTTGCTGTTGAAAGCCAGGTCTAACTGCACGAAGACAGCTGTGCCAGGAGGTGAGAGCATGGGCAACCACAGTGAGCAGCTTTATAGAAGGGACGGAATATGTAGCTTTTAAAATCTTCATAATCACTTTTTGAACAGTGATACGAGTTACAAGATACAAAAATTACTGTTAATACCTCAGGGAACAGTCTGGTTTTGACACATGCACACACAAACCCACCCTGTCCCTGCTAACCGCCACTTCTCAGCGCACTGGTTGCCATCGGCCCAGGGAAGGAGGCCAATTAGCCTGATTGATTGAAATACCCAGTGGGAGATACTGCAAAAGGCAATGCACAGCCCAGATAGTGGAAAGGTAAATACGACGGGAGCTTGTCTGTCTGCTGTTTGTTTGTACTGCAGGTACAGAGACGTAGCAATTATGTTCTACATAATGGTGCCAACTTGAGAGCAGGCAGATGAACATCAAAGCATAAGGGAGTTCGCAGTGTGCTGGGGGCTGCACAGCCCCGGGCTGCCTGCAGGGATGAGGCAGTGAGGTTCCCGGCTCTGAGCTTACGTACAGCTGTTTGGGGAATGAGAGGAGGGACATGGCGAGTTGGAGAGCAGAGAAACACAAACGGCAGCGTACTGGAGGTAAAACCTACTCTGTGCAGTGTAGAGGGAGGGTGACTTGTTGCACAGTGACTCTTTTCCAGTTACCCATGAAGGGTAATGGGCGACAGGAGTGCCTAGCCTGAGCAGCAGAAGACAGCCAGGCGAACGTCAGTCCTTCAGGGAAAGCATGAGAGGCCTCATCCTACAGTCACGTGAAAATAGGCAATGCTTTAAGGATTTGGTGTCTTTCGAGGGCTGTTCCTGCATGAGGCCTGTATGAATGAATTGGAAAACAGATCTTGTCGTCTCCATTCATTTTTACTGTCAGTTGGCATGAAGCAGCAGGCCAGCATATTCCCAAACTGCAGATGGGTATGGCAACACGAGCAAAAGCTGCTGAAGTGCAGAGCAGAACGTGATGTGTAACGCACGCGGGCGCACATCTGTCTGCATAGCTGGGGAGGTGATTCTGGCGTACGCGTTTGGGCCTTGACGGGTAGGAGTATTTGAGCGACACGTGCAGTATGGTTCCTCCGTTTGGGAGGTTGTTAAGACAAGAGACTGAGCAGCGAACTCTAGCTTTGTCTGGAGGCCTGGCTTGCTGTTATGGCTCTGAAGGGTCTCTGGGGAGCAGGTCCTCAGCAACCGGGGACTTGCTGCAGTGAAGAGGCTGCAGCGGTTTGTCTTAGACCCGGCTGTGATTGACTGCAGGGCCAAGGTTATCTGATGTCTGTAGCATAATGGTGCCCAACAAAGGGGTATCTATCTGTGCCGCCTCTATTTAAAGAGAGCTGGGAATTTAAGAAGTCAGTGTGGTTTTAGCTTAGACTTCAGGGTTTTGGAGCTCTTGGGGGGCTTTATAACTCCCAGAGCTTCTCTGTGGTGCCTTGTCACCGAAGTTTCCATCTCCTTATTGTGACTGCTCCACCTGCCCCAAGCTGACCAAACCTCGAGGGCACACGACCTGTAGTTACCAAGCCCCTTGGGCTGCTGTGAGGGAAAATATGCGAAAAGCAAGCGTAGGTACGCAGGCCTCTGCTGGAGAGCTGTGACGGAGGGCAGCGTAGACCTGGGTAAGAGAGGGCAGAAGTAAACCTGCCACTTCCTGACCTCTCAAGGCTTGTTGGCACTTGTGGGTCCTTGCTTTCTGGAGTTAAAACTGTGTTGAAAATTGACAATCATCTCAGGAGAGGCCCCAGGCTAGGAAACCTTTTGATACAAGGAGCACCTCTGCAAAGCCCCGAGGAGGGGGAGTCCCCTGCTTTTCCAGGGGATTTCTGTGCTAGGCATGCCTAAGGTAAGAACCAATTTAATTCACTTCACTTTTCATGTAAATGAGGGACACAACCCAAACACCTTCTGATTTGCATCCCATGGGAGAGGAAACCTTGAGGGTGGCAGTATCGGTTCTAGCTGCGTGCGCTTGCTTTTGGCCCACGTGCCTCCCTTGCTCTCCTTCCCCGCAGGCTGCTGCACTATTTCCGAGGCCGACACCATTTGGAGGAGATCATGTACAACGAGAACATGCGTCGCTCCCAGCTGCTGATGCTGTTTGACAAATTCCGCAGTGTGCTGGTGGTGACCAGCCACGAGGACCCCGTGATTTCAGTTTTTCAGTCTCTCTTAAAGTGACTCTGCTGGCAAAGGAAGGGAACCTGCTACACTCCCCATACTGACAGTCTACAAGATGCCTAAAAACTAAAGGAGGCGATTTCAATTCCTTCTTGCCACGTGACATAGAGCAGGTTCTCCCCCTCTGTGCCTCGATTTCCCATCTGCTCCCTGTGGTGATAGCCGACAACAGCCTGTGCGAGGGCTCTGGGGCCTGCTGCAGGACAGCGTGCGCTTGCTCAGCCTGGATTCCTGCCGCACCATGTTCACAGCACGGGAGCTGCCGGCGCACAGCCCTTCCCTGACCCTGCTCCCTCCCCAGGGCTTCCGAGAGTGGGCCAAGAAGATTTCCACTGCAGTGTTACTGACAGTACTTCACCTTTGGGTGGACGCTGGTGCACCAGAACGGCTTTCTCTGCTCTCCAACAACATGACTGCTGGGTCATTCAGCCGCGAGCACTGTTTGTGAGCAGCCTGTCCCTACGGCAGAGCGCGCATGGGCTCTGCTCAAGGGCAGAGTGGAGTTGGCCTGGCTTTTAGGGAAATGTCCCTGGGCCCCGAGGAGTTCTGTTTGATCATCATTATCTGGCAGCAGTGAGGACATCGGTAGAAAGGCAAAGTACCACAAGTAAAGTTTCATGAGTAAGAATGACTCGCTCGCTGTTACAGCTTATTGTTTCCCCACTGTCCTTATTACTAAGTGTCTATTGGAGCACGGCTGTCGCCAAGCAGCCGTGTTTGTGGGTTTTCAGGGTTTCCAGTTTTTGGGTGGGGAGCTTGGTTGTTGAGCAGGACTGAAATTAGCTGGCCAAGCTGCTAGTGCATGGACATACTAGTTCCACACAGCCAGAGGCTGGTGCTAAGGGCGCTCAGACTTGTCCCCCAGGGCTTGTTTCGTTCTTCCATTCCCCTCCCTGCAAGCATGGCTGTGGCTGCAGGGAACCAGACTGGGTTAAAGCTATCCAGCTGGAAAACAAGATACAGGTCTTTACATGGCTGCGTTTCCTGATCTGGTTCAGGACTGCTCCTCCAGCGTGCTGGGGCTAGAACAGGAGGCGACAGCCCTGTTTCTGGGGTCGGCAGGAGCTTATGCCAGCTCACCCCTGGCCTGCGTGAGGTCACTGTTCCCCACAGCTGCTCACTGCTCTGTGCTGCATACCCAGGGGGGCGGGGGGGGAGACCTTTACCTCCGTGGCAGTGGATTCCAGGGGTGTATGTTGTTAGAAGACTGTCAGACTCCTCCTTAAGACCTTCCCTTATGCCACACACACAAGCTGGAGTTTCTCACAGAGCAGCTTCACTTGCCCACACAAACTGGGTGGAACTGTGAGCTTTATATAACTTACCTACCACCAGCAAGGCACAGTCGCGCCGGGAGAGCCCAGTGTCCACAGTGCACCAGATACCCCATGACAGCTACTTACTGACGGTCCCTTCAGTGAGTCTTCCCCTGCAGCCGCAAGCAGGGATGTTATAGAAGAGCAAAAGCAATATCCGACCTAAAAATCAGATCAACATTGCTGAAGGGCCCCAGTCCCAGCCAGCCCCCATCAGCTGCATCTCAAGGTGAGCTACTGAGATCGGCGTAACAAGGGCTGTTCAGAAGGGGCCAAACAAGGTTTTTTTCATGTGATGGGGACGAGGGTTTTGAAGAACTTGAGCTTTTTTCTTGCATATGAATCCTAAGGGGAGGGGAGGGGGGTGAGGGTGTGTGTCCCTGTCACCCTTCAAACTGCCAGCGTGGCTGCAGTTCTGCGGGTTCTGCCCTAAATCCTATGGGTTTTTCCCCCCCTGTACCTCATGGCAGGCTGCAGCATCACAGAAAGCTCAGCGTCCGTGCTTTCTCTGTGTTGGGGTTCACACCCTGGTAAGTTTTGAACTGGTCTGAAAAGCAGCTGGGAAAACAAACAAAAAGATTCTTGTTCTCTAAGCTGGATGTTTTAGACTGGTATAGGTTGGAAGGGGGTCGCTGGAGGTCTTTTGTCAAAACCTCTGCTCAAAGAAAATGTGTTAGCTCAGGTCGCTCGGGAGCTTGTCCAGTGGAGGTTTGAATGTCCCACAGCTTCTCTGCGCCCCTGTGCCAGTGTTTGACCACCCTCGTGGTAAAAATTTTTTCCATGCAGCTAATGAGAATTTCCTGTTTTCCAGCTTGTGCCCATTGCCTCTCATCCTGTCTGACAAAAGCCTGGCTCTGTCTTCTCTACACCCTCCCACTAGGTAGTTGTAGAGAACAGCGAGATCCGTCCTTCACCTCCTCTTCTCCCAGCTCGCATCCTTTCAGTCAGCCCTGCTGCCATCCAGTCTTTTGACTATTCCCCTGCGGCAACCAAGCGATGGCCTCTACTGGGGGCCAGCAGCAATGGGAGCAGCACAGCAGGTCAGAGCTGCGAACCTTCACCACTCACCCACCTTAATTAAGCCTGGATCCATTGGCAAGGGAGACAGTGGCCTTCATCATCCAAAACCAACCTCAGTTCTGGCTGGGAGACCCACGCCAGTCTGCCCCACAAACAAATAAAATTCCACCTTGCCCCATTCATTATGATAAAGTACATTTATTGTTAAAAACCTCCAAGCTGCTATGTCTGCCCTAGCTGCTGCCATGACATAGCGTGAAGCTGTCATACAGAGCACAGCTCAAGTCCTGCAAGACTCGTCAGCTGCAAGAGAAGTGTCCCATTGCTGCCATCTCTCTCTCCGTTTTCTTGTCTACAACACTCACAAATTTGTTTCCTCGTAAATAAAACCTGAGAGGTTTCTGTGCCCACTCTCCCCTGTTGCCAATACCAATCCTTGTTGTGGCTACCACGTCCTGCTCCCCTGGTGGGTCATGTCCAGGTGCCATCCAGATGGCTGCATCTTGAGTCAAGTCCCTTTGGTCAAAAGCCTTATCAATCCCAAACGCTTGGCAGAGCTTGGAGGGCCCATTACACAGCTGCCAGTCCTTCAGCAGCTTTGTGGGTCCTTTCCTTGAAGCACTGCGCAGCTCTCTCATCGCATCTAAACCCTGAAGAGGTTCCAAAGAGCGAAGTAATACTGCGGCCCCTTCCCCTGTGCAGAACAAGAACCACGTGTTAGTACAGGGTTGTTCATCAAGAACGTCTCAGCTTTCAGCCCCACCACCAGCAGGAGCACTTCAGCTCTGAGCCTGTGGCTCAGCTTAGCTTGATGGAGCAGGGAATTGCCTGCTGCGCCCAACCACAGGGTCTGTCCTCCTCTTGGGCTGCTTCGCTTCAAGTGCCAGGCTCTGGAGTGAGCCGCTAACCCGTGGTCAGTGCACTCCCTTCCCTCTTCTGAATGTCCAGTGTCCCACAGCTGTGTGTCCTTTATGCATCAGTGCTGACTTGCTCTTCCCCAGCCCCACTTCTTGACGTTACTAAGTCTAGCTGCTGCTCCAAGGCTCGCCAGAGGGCAAGAGGTTTTTCTTATGTCAGCACAATGTTCAGGAATAAATATACATATGGTTCAGTTTTGGCACAGCTATCCAAAGCTGCTCCCAAACCCAGTGGATTTATAATAAACTCTGATTATAAGAACTCCAGCTAACAGAGGAGGAATGAGTCCGGATGCTGCCGGCAGAAAGAGGCAGCTTGCAGAGTTAGGCTGGACAAAGAAACCTGGGAAGGAGCTGCAGGCACCGGGAGCAGCTGCTGTCTGTGCTGCTGCTGAGGGAGCCCTGGCTGCAGGTGTTACCAATTCAAACACCCTCTTGGAGGTGTAACAGCAGGTGGGATGACCATGGCTCTGGGTAACGGCATAGCTACAAGGGAGAGCAATCCGAACCCTTGTGCCGGGGAAGCTCTCGCAAGACAGGGACGCGGGGCAGGACGGGGCTGCGCCGTCTCTGGCTGCGGGATGCACGGCCCCAGGAGCATCCCTCCAGCAGAGACCTTTCTATGACAAGAAGTGAAGAAAACTGACAGATTCTCTTCTCAAATGTGATTTGCCACCCTGTCAGGAGCCTTAGGAAACTCCAGCTCCCCACAGCTGTTGTGATCAGCTGCCCTCCCTGATTCTGGTGACAGTGAAGCAAAGATGCAGCTCTGAGCACAGACATTCCCCTGTGATGAGGATCTCCAGCCTAAGTGGGACATACACAGTTCCTTGATACTTTCCACTGGACAGCAAGGAAGGTCTTCTCATGACCTTGAGTGGGCGAGGAGAGAGCCTAGTAAAGCAGTCTGTGTGCTGCCCCACACAGCACCCCTTGTGCTGGGGCCGCCCACAGCATTCCTCCCCGCCAGCATCTTCGTGCTCGGTGATGCCGCTCCACAAGAATCCCCTCTCCCTCTCCAGCCTCAAACATCTGGAGCCATGCTCCCTCCTGGCAGAGGCTTTTTTTGTAGGCACTGATATATCCCTAAGGACCTACGATTTCCAAAAATAGAATCCCTCTCATATTTTGTATAAATCCCACACTAAATTACCCTCCTGAGCTCCCAACTGAGCCTATCAACTGAGGACCTGATTTCTGGCTTTTGTGAGGTGTGCCTCTTGCCCTGAACCTGCTCAGAGCCCCCGCTGCCCTCAGTACAGCTCGGTGAAGTCAACAGACTTATTTCCAACAGCTGTCAGCAATCTGTTCCCAGGCACTCCCTTCTCTAAGGAAGGGGATTGATGCTAATCTGGCAGCCAAAAGCTGCTTCCCTGTGCTACAGCGATTTAGAACTCAAAGGTCATTTTAGATTTTTAAGAACATGTTCCATGTCCTAATTCTGCTTTTCATCCATGCACAAAGAAACATCCTTCGCATCGGGATGCTGCCTCACCCACCAGGAACAACTGTGAGATTCTGAGCAATCCCTAATTGCACTAGTACTTGCCTTCATCCAGGACAAATGCAAGTGGAAACCGTGGTTACGCTTTAATTGAACCGAGTCCTTCGGAGTTCACGTGAAGAGAGACAACTGCAGGTGCTCCCAGAGCATCGGCAGAGCCGCGGCTGGGGGTACCTGGCATTTCTGTCTCTGGCTGCTCTTTCTGCACTTATACAAGAAAGTTTTCACACTCTTTCCTGGCCAGTTGCAACGCAGCCCCCTCTCTCCGCTCCGAGCCAGCAGCCCCTGAATGCGAGAGCAACACCACAAGAGCTTTGGGAAGAGGTGGAGAGAGCAGGCAGGATAAGAGTGCAGGGATGCCATGACAAGCTACTGCCTTCTACTGCCCCCACCTGTGCCCACAGCCCTGGGCTGATGTTCAGGTCCTCCTGAGCATACTTGCACATCAGAAGTTTTATTTTAACTACCAAAGAGTAGCTGAATCCTTCTGGCTCATCTCCTGCCTGCCAGAGTGCTTCAGCCTGCCTTCCTCCCTCTCCGCAGTCTGCAGCAGTTTGCTCTCAGGGGTTATGTGGCCAGTCCAGAGATGCTGAAGATCTACCTCCTCCCACGCCTAAGAGTCACTCCATGTAACGAGCAGCATTCGAAGCTAAAAGCTGGGCTCTAACAACGACACAGGGACCAATTCTTTCCCTGAGCAGCTAGGAATCAGAAAGCGATAGGGAAGTCCCACACCCCCACTGCGCAGCTTGCTGCTCCTTCCCTGGAATGGCTCCAGCTCTCATTCTTGGAAACCGCTCACTCTTGGCCGCTGGAGAGAAGAAAACTTTCTCTCTCCACCCGTCTGACTCACTGCTCCCGAAACACTTCCTTCAAAGTCCTAGTCTAGGATCCAAAAGTTAGAGGGAAGTCCACACAGTGTGACCCAGGTCTGGGTAGAGCATCACTGGGATGTCGGCTTTTACAAGCTATTCTTTCAGATCTGGCAGCAATACACACAGCTTGGCAAATTCCAGAGAAACAAATCACAGCAAAGTCAAAGAGAAGCTTGACTGGCATTTAGCCTCTTCCTGAAGTGAGGGAAGCCCAACATCCCTCTTAACCTTAGGGAAAGCTCTTTGTACTAAGATTATTTTGCTGCTCGGGATATACTGTAGGATTCATGCCCGCTGAAAGACATTGGTTATATTTTTTTCTATAAACTCTTCTTCCTCTATCATCTACGATTTCTCCAAAAAAACAATGTAGTGATGCCTGCCACGGCTTCAGGCAGTAGCAGTATTTGACCCAGTGATGGGAAGACCTCTCACAGTAAAATCCCACACGATGCAGCTTTATCTCAGTGATGTGCACAAAGATTTCCCCTTCCTCAGTGACAAAAAAATATTTGAGCCCACCCTTCAACTTATTATGGTTTTATGAACACAAAGATACAGTCAGGTGAACTCAAGTGAACACACTAACAGTCACAACTTCTTGCCCCAGCAAAGTGGCAAAACAACAGGCTACAGCTGAAGTGCTTCCGATGTCTGTTGCGGCATCAGGCTGGGCTGGGGACGTACTGCTGAGGACGCTGCAGCGGTGGTGGCTCTCAAGGCTTTTGTAGCTGCTCTACCAAGCACCTCTGCTGGTGACACACCTTTCTCTATCCCCGAGTGATAGCGCCGAGCCTGAAGTTTAGCATAAGCCAAATATAGAAAACAGAAGAGGTTTATTCTACCTGGCATCAAAACAGACGATGCTACAAGGTTATGTGTCAAGAGAGCTCTAAAGAGCCAGAGTCTCATGAGCCAAATACCCCATTCTTGACAAGCTAAGCAGAAGGGAGCAAGTAGGAGCAGCACATGGAGCTTTGCACATCTTGTATAGGCCTCAGATCCTGAGCTGATTAAGGACCAAGAAGGCCCCGGCATGATTCAAGTCAGTGTTAAACTACTTTTTAAAACAAAGTCTGCTGCAACAGTCCAATTCATGCTGCTTGCCTGGTCCCAACAGCACGTGTGCCTGGGACAGCCCTGTGCAGTGCCTGTGCCAAGAACCAGGCCACACAGGGACAGCGCGGCACTCTGATCCCTCTCCAGTAAAAGGACGGCTGCTCTCATTAAGCTAGCGGCTCCAAATCAGCTCTATGGTCACTCAGTTCAAGAGTCTGAGAAGCAGCAGGACAGCAGTCACTGCCAGTACTTAAGAGAATATACTGGTTTTCTGAACTGCTTGCCTTCTTCCCACAAGAATGCTGTAATTGAAGCAGCACAAGGACTTGCCTACACTACAAAACTAGACAGTTTAAGCCAGCTAAGAATTTATTTGTGATTATTAGTTTGTGCTAACTTTAATAGAGCACCTAAACCCACGCTAGATCTCAGTTAAATCTATGTGCTTGTTCCAACAGTCTCCAGAAATAAATGTTTTGTTAAAAATCAGTGTATGACTGCATGAGTATTTTGATGCAAACCACCCAATGGCCAAACAGAAACATCTTTCAAGAGTCATTTGGAAAATCTCTGGAACTGATTTCTCCTGAAATCAGCCTTGGGTCTTCTCCTAATTCTCCTGTCAGTATGAACTTTGCTAACATGTGTCCAGGTCAAAATTGAAATGGCTTAAGACAGGGTCGATTTGTGTGTGTTTGAAGACATCAGGGAACCCCCAAAGACCTTTCCCCTTCTCCACTGCTCCAATTTGCTGCAGCAATGCCATACAGTATTCCCAGATGCAAACCCCAACTACTCATATAAAGCAAGTTGCTCTGCTGTCCTGAAATCTGTGTGCATGTCTAGACTTGTTCTGCTCCTCCCCTCTACTTACAGGAAGATATAACAAAACTGGAAGAGATTCAGGGACAGGCAACCACGATGATCAAAGTTATGGACTAGTTTTGGAGCAAGAGCCTAAGGAAGGAATAACTAAGTAGATTAGAAACCTTCAGCTTGGAAGACAGCTGAGGAGGGTATATGAAAGATCCCGGGAGATCAGAGGAGGCAGAGGATGATATATGGGAATAGATGCAATCACCCCATGCTCTCCACTGTTTAACTCCTGGTGCTCTGCAGCTCTGCACTGCCAAAATCCAAGAAAAGAGTGCTGCAGCTCTGGGACATCACTGGAGATGTGCCCCTCGAAAAGGCAAAGCGTTTAGTGTTCTCTCAGGAATTTGTGTTCAGTCTTTCCAAGCGACACCTTCAGAAATATGTTCATATTCCTTTTATAGTCTCCTGGTCAGTCACTCAGGTTTTCGCAGCGTTCCCAGGCAGACCCTGAAGCACTTGGATATTTTGCATCAAATTCCCTGCACAAAGATGATGAAACTGATGACATCCGAAGTTCACGCTCTAAGCAGAGCGTGGTCTGTGCTACTAAGAGGGACCAAGCTATGCCACAACAGACTTTTTTTTTTGCCAGTGTTTCCTTGTGTTTTATGCACAGCCACAGCCAGATTCAAAACAAAGTTTCCAAGATCTGTCCCCTATCCAGAAAATGAAATGCTTTTGCCTTCTACCCAGGTGCACAAGTGCCACCACAAAAGACGACCTCCTCAATCCTTCCCTCAGACTAAACGACAGGACAGGCTTCTTCTCCGTCTACGTTCAAGTGAGAAAAACATCTCTGGTATGATTCATCCTCAAATTCTTTCTTTCAACACATCTGCACGTGGGCAAATACACTGCAGGAGTAAATCGTACTTACGCAGACGCCATCTGCGATACACCACATGCACAGCCATGCTATTTACTTCAGTGCGCTCCCGACAAAGCGGGTAGCGACAGCTGTGCTTGGTGTCAGCATAGCTGCACGTATGACAGGCTAATGGAGAATACGAACAAAAAATCCAACTCAATCCATCACAACAGTGAATTCTTTAACTGATTTTCTACCAAACTAAACACAGGTATAAAAGGGAAAATTTCCCAAAGTATAAATTTCAAAGAAATCTTTCTAGAATTCAAAGGCTAAGCATCTTTTTTTAATAAAAATTATTATTCCTAATATTTCAAACACTAAGAATCCCATCCTGAATAAAGAGCCATTCTGCTTTCATTATCTGAGCAGATTTGGCAGAGACAACATAATGAAATTCACATGTGTTCATCCACCAGACTCCAGACCTCCATTAGAAAGACGGGCTCTTCCCCCACAGTATAACCTGGCACTGGTTTTCTGCTTGGCGCCTGTCCAAAGGCCAAAACCTGAGGATTAATGGTCACTGTTACAGCATTTGCTTTCCACTTATGAATACACAAGCGGTGGCTTTTTTTTTTAAGCTGTATCTTTGAAATGGCGAAAAAGAAAAGAAATTATTTTTGAGATTTTTTTCTAACAAAATTAGTATTTATCTAAGAAATACCTGCTGCCATTTCAAGGTGTCTAATTAACCGATAGCTTTGTTGCAAGGCAGACAGTGTCATTCTTACAGGGAAGAAAAAAAAAAACAAGCTTTAGAAGTAACACTTGCATATTAAGAGGAGCTGTGGAAGGCGAGTCTCAGTAAATTCCAGAATAATTTGATTAGAGGTTGACTATATTATCTTGAGAATAATAAAAGAAGATTGAAGATTCTGTAACAGTCCGGGTATTTTGATTTTTTTTTTTGTTTGTTTTAAGATACAGTGAAGTGGCTAAAATGCTCCTACACTGACTCCTTGCTTAAGCTTAGGACATCTCAGACCTTTTTGTTTTCCCCAACATTTACAGCTTCTGAAGATAAAGTTTCTTGTCATGACAACAGATACCAAGATTTAGGCTGTCATTAGACTGCAAATTTACTTCTACATCACCACTTTCGAGGAACAAAGTTCACTGAATCACATGAATAAGGCAGCAGCCCAGGTCATCAAAACTGACAGCTCCATCCTGTCAAGATTCTCCTCCAGCCCTTAGTCCTTATTTCTGCACCCGAACAGCTCGTACAGCTCATGGCTGGGACCAAAACCCCACCGGGCTGGTCACTGTGCAGCTGGAGATGGGCCTTGCTTGTAATGTTGAAAGTTAGTAAGCTGTCGGCCCACGGTTACATACTGCTCACAATGGCAAAACCCAGGTCCCAAGGAAAGACTGTGACAGCAAGTCATTGACTTCACAGAGCCCATAGGGAGCTCACAAGTGACCGCAACATGGCAAGCGTAGCTTGAAATATCAGCCCCGTGCTATAGGCATTAAAACTATTTCAGCCTCAACTTACCTTGGCTGGAAACATTCACGCAGAAATAAATCCCATAGATCTGATACACGTACAGAGTTCCTGGTTTCATGAACATTGCCGCGTTTCGTTGAGTTTGCTTCCCACCTTTCGAGTGGGAAGCTTCATCTTCCCCACCCAGATAAGCTTCTGTTTCAACAATCCTCCCCCACAGTTCTCTGCCATCAGGAAGTTTGCGAACTAAAATCTGAAAGAGAGGTCAGAGTGCATCAGTTAGCAACCCTCTGTACAAAATAACCAGAGCGCAAGAGCTGCAGAAACAAAGAAGTCGGAAAAAAGGACCTGATGGTACTACATACTCTCCTCTCCACCTAGCAGTCCAGCCTGTAGGCTAACGTGAAACTTTTTCAGCTTCTACTGTCCAGGCCACAGCCCAGTACAAGAAGTTCCAACCTGTCGTTCACCCCACAAAATGCCTGGAGTGTCTAGATGCGACAGTATCATAAAGAACCAATATATGATCCTATATACAATAAAGCCCATAGAGTTGCTTTTGTGGTTATTTTCTGTATTCTCCACCCCAATCCACCAGGTTTAAGGCAAAAAGCACCACTCGTACCAACTCTGAAGCATTCTTTAGATCAGAAGAAATATGACAGTGGCACGATTAAATAACTACTATGATTAGATAGTCTCTCTCCACAGAGATGTTTCAAACAAGTCCTAGTCCCTAACCATAGAGAGAATCACGACCAGAGTGAGTATCAATGCTATTTCTGTATTTTCTGCACCGCAGAGAGCGGCAATGCAGGAGAGCTGGGAATTGGCTTCAGGCAGACAACAACAGAGCTTTGTTATTACAGTGTGTTCCCTGCTGCTGGTACCTCCTTATGGAAAGCAAAGCAGATGCAGGGGGAAAAAAAAAAACCTGACAGTGAAAAGATTATCTTTAAAAATAAAACAATCACTAAATTTCATACAAAGTTTTTTGTGGTTTGACCTGATTTCTAAACTTTTTATTTTACTTAATGTGTGTTTAAGAAATGCTGCAGTATAGTCTCATTGAGGCAACAGCTATCGGTTTAATTATACTATATTCAGTGCTTCCACATTTGAAAACCAGCCATTCAAAAATGACCTTCAAGAAACAAAGCTTAATTCCTAACAGATGTCTGTGCTGGATTGCTAATGCAGTTATTGACCTGACCCAGTACGGATGCTCCAGAAGTCAGTTTCAAATGCTGCAACTCCGGTATTTCAAGGTTTCGCTATGGCACTTCTGAAATTGTTGAGAACAATCAGTTATTATTTTTATGAAAAATGCAGTGCCTTCAGAAGAGCACTGGTGTTCAGCAACTGCCTGCGAACACCCCAAAAGCACACGCACGTGGCCACATTTCTCTTTCAATATGATGAAATGCAATGGTTAGGTTATGATTTTAAAAGCATGCAGGCATTTCCCCGACTCTTCAGACACAGCAAATATTCACAGTTAAACAGTTTAAAAATGGTGATCATTCACAATACCTCACAGTAAACTATTTTATAGAGGTTTTTATTTCTCACTGAGGACGTATCTTGGTGTTACGACAGTTCATTTTGAGAGGCCATTTACTGTGTGTTTGTTTTGCGGTATTTTTTTGCTTCTAAGAACTCAAGTATCGTGTTTAAGGTAAGCAATATTAATATACCAGGCACCTCCAAAATTTGGTAGAATGAAGATAATGAATGAAACACTAAATTACCATTATAGTTATAATTCTAAGAAAATGAGAGAATAGACTGGGTCATGGGAGTTACACTTTAAAGAAAATCTAAAATTAACATAGAAATCACTTGACTTGTAATTCTATGCCTAAATAGGAAAAGTATGGAATTAGGACTAAAATGTCGTCTGCCTGGGGTAACTGAATGCGTAAGGATGTTGGAGTCATTAAGACAAAAAAACGCATCAGTACTGGGAGACTTCAGGTACCCTCATATAGACCAAGTAAATATCGCAGTAGGACAGGACACAGGCTGTGTTTTTTTTAGACACCATCAAATACTTTGCAGAGTAAGTAACTGGGGATCTCAAAAGAAAAGACTAAACTCTCAAACTGATCCAGAGCAAAATGCAAAGTCTTCTCCAAAGACTTATCCCTGAAAAACAACTTTGTATCGTGACCGTGAAGTATAAAGTTCAGTGGCCTTCCACAGGCATTAAGGTCCAAAAATAATGTCAGAGTTCTGCTTCCCAGCAAAAAGGGGAAACTACATAAAGTGAGGAAGCTTGTTAGGAAGAACTCAAAAGAGGCAGCCAAAGGTTAAAGCTGGAAAGGCAAGCCTCTAGCAGGATGTCTCTAAAGATAGCAAACACACATGACATATCAGAGAGAGGTTAAGATAGAGCAAGAAAAACCCAGCAGGGTTAAGAAGCAGAGCAAAGGCGTCAATTACAAGCAAGACAATATCCTTAGAAAATAAAAAAAAAAAAAAGCTAGACACAGCAAGACAGGCCAAAGCCAACAGTTTGTGGAACAAATTCCTGAAGTTATCTAAACCAATGAGAACCCAGAGAGTCTGTTCACCCTACAGACAATAAAGGTATAAAAAAGACTCAGAGAAGATAAGACCACAGCAGTGAAACTAAAAACACATTTTGCAATTGCATTTAGGAGGTCTCAGACTGGAACCTTTTATAGGGAAAACACTGGAGGAACTCCTGCCCATGGAGACAGCAGGAGAGTTTTCTGAAGGACTCTCTAAGCAGAAGAGACACGTTTAACCTCCCCTACTGTGATTTCCAAAGGCTTTCAACAAGGTCCAAAGATTCCTCAAAGTTTCTGCAATGGGATAAGGGAGAAGGTCCTTTCATGAAGAAGTAACGGCTTGAAAACTCAGAAACAAAAGCTAGGAATAGCATTTTTCAGAGTGAAAAGAGTTTAACTGTGGGACTGTGGAGTCCTAAATGTCTCCACAGTAGGGCCTGTGCTGTCTTGCATATTTGTGTTAATAACCTCAGAAAGGTGATCGTTAAGAGAGCCCACCATGTGTACCGACAATATCGAGTTACTCAGAACAGCAAAAATAAAAGCAGGTGGTATGAGATAAAACTTCCAAAGCATACAGGGCAGCATGAAAGAATGTACCAAGCAGTCTGCTAAACTTGCAGATAAGAATGAAATATTCAAGTACACTATGACAGTGGATACTGGTCAAGAAAGGCCAAGGGCCTGCCATGCTATTAGCATCACAAGGTAGTAAAATGGAGGAGAGAAGGAGATGTTGCTGACTGCAGAGCATTACTTTCCACTGGGCTAAGCAAGAGCCAAAACCAAATAAAGGAATACCTGAAAGGAAAATAATGAGCCTGAAACAACCTTCAAACCACAAACAGCAAAGTACATCTCAGTGAACCAGAAAAAAGGGAGAAAAACTCCACAAAAACTAATTCTGAAATGGGACAGTAAACTAAACCTGAAAAATTACTCCTCTGACTTCATCCAGAACAGATTTGGCTACTAGTCTTTAAATTCCACTGAAAAATTACTCCTCTGACTTCATCCAAAATAGATTTGGCTACTAGTCTTTAAATTCCACTGAACTTAACAAGAGAAGGAATGAGAGCTGTATTCCTAAAATAGCAAAGCCCTGGAGTCAAATGGCAAAAAAAGGATTTCATCCTTATACGCTAAGTTATTAGCTAGCACATGCTCCAGTACAGTAATCTCAGCGTTCATGTCTTACCTGTCCCAGAAAGGACTTGGCCAGACTAATACAGGGCTGGTTGAAAAAATCTGCTTCTAGCTGAGAAGAATTTTTTTTCTCTATCGCAAAGTATTTGCTGCTTTTTGGAGAAGAATTCCCGTCAGGCATAGCGTTCAGGTTCTCCAAGGCATCAAAAGGAGGGAAGCTGGAGTTGCTTTGGAGAGCACTTAATTGAGCCAACAGCTTTCTTTTTCTTGGCATAGTTCTAGAAAATTGATATAAACGTAATTAGGAATATAAAACTTATTTAAAAGTAACTCATTTCCACAAACTCTTTTCATTTTTTACACATCTCTCCACAACAATGCATCTGAAAGCTGTAACTAATTGGACAACCTAGGCAAACTACAGAAGCAGGTGACAGATTTAGCTGCATCTACATCAGGCTAGGCAAATATTGGGCTCTACTGATAAGCAAGTAGAAAACCGGAGTTTGAGTATTCATCTTTTAAGGATTGCAGATAAAAAGCAACTCTGCTCCACTCAGCACTAAAATAAGTTTGCTAACTGTTAGGTTAGGAAATTCAGAAATTGAAAACAATGATGAACCAGTACTACATACTTTTTACCTAGAACTAACGTAAACTGTTAAGCAGACAGAAGAAGATAGGAAACAACCACCGCAAAAACTGTGCTGACTCAGAAAGTCCACAGAAGTAATGTATCAATCCTTTTAACCAGTAACGTAACCAAATTAGAATCTAAAACTCCACAGGACACAGAACATTTGAGCTGGGAGATGCCCTATTTACAGCCACAGTGACAAACTTGTTTATCATGCTGTAGAAACGTTTGTGTTAGAACCTCCACAAAATAGGCTTTAAATTCAACCTACCAGAAAGATGAAGAGCAGTCTGTTCCAGCCAACAGTATGTATTCGAGTCAACTACGTAACCTGAGATTGTTCTTCTAGGTTTGCCACCAATTTACTATGTGAGCTTCAAAAAGTTAATGTTTCTTTTTCTGTGCCGCAGTCCTTATACCTGTTGAACAGGAACAAAGTTATTTATTCACTGTATAAAGCACTTTGAAACAGGCTAAGAGATTTTGGAGCTGGAGATCACGATACCAGCATCATTAGCTCAAACTCAAGAACAATTTGCAGTTTTCTTTTGGTCTAGCAAAAGACCATCTCCCAGCTGGGGCATTGCTGGAGATGCTCTTCAGCCTTTTTTATACAAAAGGCTATGAAGTGGGGAATGCGCTCTTCCTATACTGAATACACAAAAAGCTGAAACCAAACTTTTTAAATTCCCCCATTGGGACTAAATTTGGAGAAGTGTCAGCCTCAGAAAAGGACTTTTACAAGAGAATGCAAAGACACCAGGTTTTAGAAGATGCTTTATCAGTTCTGAAATTCAACCACATGTAGATATAAGGCAAAAAAGCAGTTCAACATCATACATAATTAGAAATGGAGAAAAATCCTATATTCAGCTGAACCTGTAAGGGAAGTATATACATAATTAAGTAGCTGTTGCCACTCATTTTTCACCAGATCATCAGCTTTTAAAAATGACTACAAAAACCTTCACCATCAAAAACAATCTTTATCTTGCTCTGATGTTTCTCGCAAAGAAAGAGCCACCAGCAATAGTTTCCTTGAACTACACAGAAACAAATTCAGCATTGCTACACTCTGGATCACCAGTGCCAATTCCCCAACAGTGTTACATTTCACTTCAGAAGAATCCAGACACAAACATATAAAAATAGGCAGCTAAAAAAAAAAAAAAAATCACATTGGCATGACTGGCAGGGAGGTGGGATGTTTTTTTTTTTTTTTCTAAACATCTAATTCTTTATTGCAATAATTCAGTGATGCCAGAGACTTGCCACAGAATGGCCAGCTCCATGCCAGGTATTCTGTTCTGAACTGTGGCTTTCACCTGGTGGGAATTCTTAAAAATGTTGTCAGAAGTCACCAGCCCGCCTCAGACAAAATCGCCTGGCGGCCTTCGCAAATGAGAGTCCTGTCTAGGAGAAAGGGTGCGAATAGGAAATAGGGTTGCAGGAAGGAAGGGATGGAGGAGGAACACTTCCCCGTATCAGACTGACCCTCTAAAAGACTCGGTCAAGGGAACGCTTCACACTGAAGACAATACCTCCAGACTTCTCTGACAGTATTAACTGGAACTTCCAGTTCATCAGCCATACATAAAGACACGCTGAAAACATGGCCAGTTTGAGTGGAGCATTAACTCGTTTGGTAATTTGTGCTCTTATGGAATGCGACATCAGAAACAGGATCCGAGTTGCCTGGCACCTATTGCCTTTCAATTAAGTAATTCTTAAAAGCTGCAAGTGCGCTCATGTAAATGTTATACTGGCAGCCTTAGGGCACTTGTAATTTCATTGCTATGGGCTGATCCTAGACGGATCTCAGCACTTTCAACTCTCATTAGAAATAGCAGTAGGATACTGCCTTATAGTCATGAGAAATGGGTCACGTACAAAAACGTGATTGCTTTAAAAGCAAAAATGCAGAATGAGGGGACTGCAATACCACCTCAGAAATCCAGAAAAACCCCAATCTACCTTTTGTCTCCCTGCTTGTTCATACCAAGATATGAAACATAAAACTCTATGCCTCAAAGCCTATCTACACTTTCTATAAAGGATGTTGCTTGTATATACAAATCCCTTCTTGCCTATGAAAAAGCACACTGTAGAAGACTGCATATCAAGTACCCAAGCCCTATGTATTTGGGAAGTAAAAGACACCATCTCTTCACATTACAGGCAAATTCTGCAACCCTTCATTTCTACCTAGATTTTCTTGCTTGTATAGTAAACAAACTCTACTTCTGTGCCACAAATAAGAATCAGTTGTGGGTTTAATCACTTTTTACTAATCCTGTTGTAACCAAACTAGCTACAAGTTGTTAAGCACATGTGTGTACGCATGCACAAAAAAAGGTATGGAAGTCAGAAAAGGAAGATCAAGAGCTGAGTTAAGTCTGCACAAGTGCCTGAAGTGTTCAGGGCTGCTGGGCTCGTCTCAGGCAAGTGTTCAGGGACCCTGCAAGCCAGAATCAGGAAGACACTGAAAATCCGCATAAAATACAGCTCAGTGGCAGATACACCCTGTAGTCAAGGCACAACTGAGTCTACACAGGCTTCTTTAATCCTTATTATAAGACTGCATTTGCAGGTATTTCCTCATGTATTTAATGAACTTTCACTAAAAGGAGGTAAAAAAGAAAAAAATCCCACCAGTAATTTGCATGTACTTTTGGCTCACAGGTCCAGATACCTGCAGCTGCAAAGTTTTCCTCATGCAGATATATCTTTCTGAAAGCATGATGAAGAAGCGTACATAAGAACACATTGCCACTTCTGGCGAGACAATTCCTCATACAAATTCCCAGTTGTACAGATTTTATGTGGGAATACATGAACTGTCAATACTGAGTCAGACCAAAGGACACGTCTACCTGTATCCTGCTCTCCAGCACAGGTCAAAAGCAGGAGCCTAGAGAAGAACAGAATAAGCACACAGTGCTTCTCCACACATCCTCCGTATCTCTAGACCAGAACCTTCCGAACCAGGCACAGTTTCTGCGTGCTTAGTAACTCTGAGCTTATGCAGTCTTCCTGAGCCTGTGTAAAACTATCCAAACTGAGACTTTACTGATGAAGAAAGCTTCACAGAATTAGTCATTACGGCTCTAAAAACTCACTCATTTTGTGTGTGAAATTGGGACTGCTCCCCACCCACATGAATCAGTTTACATTTGCAATTCATCATCATCAGCCCTCTTCTTTACCACCTCAAATAATGTAAAGCCAGCTGGCAACATTGTTTTTCCAGGTCATATACAAAACATCCCTGCAGCGCTCCAATGGCGACCTCCAGCCACCATGAGGGCTGCCCATTTACTCATACCCTCCTTCCTCTCTTTGCACCAACTGTTTATTTATGACAGGGAACTCCCTTGTTATGTCAGGGGCTGCTCAGGTGAGGGCTCCTGTTTAAAAGCTTCCTGCAATCTGAGTACAGACTGTAAGCCAGACCTCTCAACATGCTTATTTAGACCTTCAGAGAATGCCAACATTTTTTTAAGGCATGACTTTCCATTACAAAAGCCACATTGGCTCTTCCTCACCATATAATATTTATGCAGGTGTCCAATAATTCTACCTTGCTATATTTTCTACTAATTCAGTTGGTAGTGGTCAAACTTCCTGGTCCGCAGCCCACAGATTTCTCCTAGAACCCTCTTTAAAAAGTAGTGACGCGTTTGCTGCTCTCCAGTCCACAGGTATTAGTCTTCAGTGAGAAGGGAGCGACCATCGTTAGCAGCACTGTCGCTGGGGGCTTCATCTGGTTCGGCAACTTGTTCCTGCCCGTTGTCTATTTGTTCCATAACCTCTTACCCAGACACTTCATTTTAAGCCAGGTCCTTCAACGAGTTCTCAGCAAGAAGGATTTCCATCCAACTTTCCTGTCTAGTCTAACCTATTAGTAACCAGAAGTAAGCTAATCAAGTATAGCTTCCTGGACAACAGTGTGAGAAGCAAGCAAAGAAAAGCCATCTTGAAAGAAGAGTGCAGGCAGGAGCTAATATACTATAACTATAAATATTAAGTCAATCTCTCCACAGACAGACTTTGACACTACGTGCAATCCTACTGATACCTCAAAAGTACGGCAAAATGAATGGTTTTATTCACCTCACTGAATGCTGGGGATGTCATTTCCCGCAAGACGTCCTTGCAATTCCAGTCCTTGCTCCTACTGCCTACTGGACATCTTGAGCTTTTTGGAACGAAAACTTACTCATCCTTCTGTAAAGAACAAGGAAGACAACAATGAGGGAGAGCAATGAAAAATCATGAAAAACCCAAAAAGCCTTCACAGCAAAATTACGCTCCATTTTGGTTGACTCTCTTAAACCAATTTGTTTTGTTCTGTTCCCCCCCCGCCCAAAATTCTAGCTGCTATTTTTAACTGAGTGCCAAACTTGCATATTAAATGAAAGCAAACAAGTTAATATAATACTGACAATGGATGTTAGCTAGCTCAGCCTTCTGAGATTTGAGTTAACCAAGCCAGCATTTAGTTAAGCAAGGCAGTATTTAGAGAAGCCACAAACACTGATCAGGAAATGGACATAAGGATTCAAAATCATCTGCAGTTCAGGGTTTTTTTCTTTATATCTACATTATCTGTAGCAAATGTACGTTGGGTATATTGGGCTAATCATCCAGGAGCTATAAGTCTTATTTTTTTTCCACTTATATGATGACAGCGAGAACACTCCTGATTTGTAAAGCACGCTGAAAGAGCTATATAAGGGGATACAGAACTAGTCACACTTAAGTCTTAGGTACCCATCTTATAAAACGACCCTAGAAAATACATTCCTTCCTCAATCTTAATATTGCATCAGAAACAATTTAGTTCAGGCATGGCAGTTTGACTCAATGACCAAAGATGTTTCACCAAAGCCTTCATTAATGCACTGACAAAAAGGAAAACTTATGACTCAAATGCTCAAACATCTGAACAACATCCACAAAGAGAG